CAGCAGCCCGAAACAGCGCCTGCCAGTGTGTTCTTTAGGCGCACTTCGGCACCCGCCACCTTTACTGTTTCTCCCTCTTGTGACTATCTGAGGGAGTTACATACATGCTGGAGGGACACTAAGGCTCTTTACAGTCTTACGTCCGATGGCCGAGCCTTGGCAGCCATGCAGGCAAGAGTTGTCCTTGACCAAATGCCGGCTGTTGAGCCTACCATTGCTTCCCTCATAGTTTCCCCTGACGAAGCTCTGAGGTCGGAGGCCAGGTGCCGTCAACTCCAATGTTGAGTCACTGATGACCTGCTCACTAAGGCTTACGATGCAGCGGCGCGCATGGGCCGTATAGGCAATTCCCTCTCTCACCTCATGCTCGCCCTCTCGGCTTCCCCGCAGCAGGATGCTCTTAGCTCTTCCTCTACCAGCCTCAGTGACGCCTCACTTACACTTAGAGGCGTTTGCTCTGATGTCTAGAGAGCTTGGGCGCCTGATGTCCACTCTCGTCCAGACTCGTCGCCAGGTTTGGCTGGCACAGTCACCCTTATCAGAGACATGTAGGAGGACTCTCCGTGCTGTCCCAGTGGAGCCGGGGGAGCTGTTCGGTTCAGCTGCCGTACAGGTGCTCGAACGGACTGTCAAAGCTAATCAGACCAGGCAACAGTTCTCAGCTCTTCGCAGAGACATGCCCTCCCCCCGGTAGGCCTAGAGGTTCCGCGTCTGCCTCCCGAGGCCGCTCCCATCCACCGGTGCCCGCCATGGGCCTTAGCGCCCCACAAGGAGTCCGGCCCGCTACGGTCCTGTTAACCCGCCCCGAAGGCAGTCTCGGTATCCAGTGCCTAACCATCGCCCCCCCAGAGCCCGGGGGGCAAGGTACTGAGGGTCTGGGCCTGCTGTTGGTTATTTCTCCCAGCAGCAGCTCAACTACTGGGTAGCTCAAGCTTCAGACCCCTGGGTGGCCCCCAGTCTTCAGCCGGGTCAAGATGACCACCATAAGCGGGCCGGCAAAAGAAATCGCCCTAAACCAGGAGCTGTCAGTCCTCCTTGCCAAAGGTACAATCAAGCCTTTGGACCCCATCTCACAGCCCGGGGGCTTCTACTCGACTTACTTCCTGGTAAGGAAGAAAGGCGGTGAACTTCGCCCAATCCTCGACCTGAGGGGACTCAACAAGTTCCTAAAGATTTTAACTTTCCATGTGCTGAGCACAGCAGACGTTCTTCGTACTGTGGCCAGGGGGGAATGGTTCACGTCCGTCGACTTGAAGGACGCTTATTTTCATGTGCCTATTGTGCCTCATCACAGGCAGTTTCTTCGCTTTGCCTTCNCGGGTCTTCGTACTGCTGGAGGGGTGAGTAGCTTGAGTAATTTAACTCCCGACCTTCGACGGTCGTTCGTTGTGTAGCGTAGACCCTTAGTCGTTCGGTACCCACGCTGACGCACGTCGGCGCACGAGACATGACCCGTGGTCTACCTCTTCGGTTCTCTTCACTGAAGTAGACCGGTTCGAGTCATCCACTCAATCGAGGTGGGAGTCTCCTGTCGGGATAGTCCGGAATCAGGAGAAGCAAACCGCCCCGTGGACGTCGGAGACGACGGCTGCGGAGATCCTGCCCCAATCCAACCCTGACATCAGCTGACCGTCCCCCTTCGTGGGATGGGTCAGTCATCAAAGTTGGAGCCGATCAGGATCGTCGCGAATGGGTGCTCCGTACTACCACGTTAAGTGTACGTGACCCAGGAGGCTTTCCGGGAGGGAGTCTACGAGCTCAGGTTCTGTTCTCCGCGTTTCCACGTACCGTCGTCCTCTCCGGTATGTCCACAATGTTCGGCCATTTTGTATCGCTGTCATGTTACATTTTTGAGGTCTGGTTGCGCAGATCGTGAATCATCAGCTTCTCGTACTGACATTTATTGACCCGGCCCTTTGTTTGTAGGCGTCACCTCCCCTCCTCGTGTTATCAATCAATCGCACTGGCACTCGTGGAGATTGACCCCACTCTTTTTATTATCCACAGTCATTCACCATACGTACGCACTCTCTCTCTCTCGCCACTTAATGAGAGAGGATCGCGGCGTCGCTCATAATCAGGCTCGCTCAATCGTGAGGCGATTGACCTCCTACCTTGCCACATTTGGTTTGCACACACGTCACTCTCCCCTCGCCTTTGTGGAGGAGAGGATCGCGGTCATTGGTTCAAGTCGAAACTCGCTCTCGTGAGTCAAGATTTGAACCTCTACGCTTGTCCTTGGTTGACACATCGTCAGCTCTCCCCTCGCCTCTGTGAGAGAAGTGGATAGCGTCATGTTATCAACTCTCGGAGCCTCGACTTGTGGTTGAGTCGATTCGATCCTTATCTACCGTTGTCGTTGGTTACCACCTAGGCGGCCACTTTGCACGTCTCGCAGGTCGTGAGATGCAGGACTCGCGAGGACCATTGTCAATCGGCACTTGCCCTCGTGAGGTCGATTGACGGCTGCTATATTGTCGATTGCCGTTGGTTTACATCATCACTCTCCTCGCGCGCTCTCGCAGAGA